TAGGTTAAAAATAACCAAAATGGGGAAAATAACATTTCCCCTGCAGGGCTGCTATGAGATTAGAGATGATATAATGGGCACAAAGTGATCAATAAATCACAGTAATGATTATTATTTATCAGCATAATTAGGAGCTGCCATAGTAAAAGGGTCAAAGCACAGGATTTATGGTCAGAAAGAAGAGCTCCGTTGAGTACCACGGCAGGAAATAAAAGCCAGTGCTGTCAAGTGAACAACACTGAGACCCTTGTCAATCACACTGACACCGCACAATTCTGTGGTAATGTCCGACCGTGGGCCCTGCATGAGAGGGAAGAGAGAGGGATGGGAGAATCTCTCGATTCAGAGGGAGAAAGAGCTGTCCAGTGGAGAGTTCAAAGTGCTAATGCCATAACCCACTTCTCCTCTTCCCAAATATTCTAAGTTACCCTTCAGGGGGAGGGGAAAAAGCAGGTCCTTGTTCTAAGCACCCATTATATAATCAAAGTGCTCCTTGTAAAACACAATTTGGTTCAAGGCATTTGTCTATTTCAAATGATTCAGTGACTCACCATTGCTGTGATAAAACTTGCAGCATGGTTTACCAGGCCCCAGAGCCCCAGGGTCTTCTCAAGCCGGCTACGCTTTCAGATCCACTACCGCACCGTACTCTCCTCCCTCCATGCTCTGTACAGGCTATTACCACCACCTGTGATGGCCTCCTCCATTTTCACTTACGTGCCCACTCATCTTGTACGTCCCGCTTCCCTCTCCAGGAAGCCTTACTACCGGCTGAATTGCCTCTCCAGTGGAGAACTTCATGCCTCCATAGCTGAATGAGCTACACTATATCGCAACTGTTTGTCCATTGGCTTGTTTTCTTTACTATTCTTTGAACATCTTACTTACTCACCTTTGTATCTCCAGTGCTTTATACAAGACATGAAACAGAGCAGACGCTCCCAAATAAAACACAACAAAACAAAAAAATGAATGACTGTATGAAGCAAAGAGTGAATGACTGAGAGGCTGAAGTTGTTATCTGATACAGGAGATGAAGGAAGAGCTCTTCCCATTAGCTGGCAGACTGTCCTGCCTTCCTAAACGGGAAGGAGTGAAAGAGACAATAGTGTAATTCCTCCTGCTCTTTTTGATTCTCATGCTTTAGTGTCAGAGATACTAAACTGGATGAACCACAGAATATCCTTCAATGAAACTAAGTAATCTTATATTTTTGAGATTAAAAAAACACTTTCTGGGGCGCCTTGGTGGCTCAGTTGGTTAAGTGTCCATGTCTTGATTTTGGCTCAGGTCATGACCTCAGGGTTGTGAGATGGAACCCCGCACTGGGCTCCACGCTGGGCACGGAGCCTGCTTTGGATTCTCTCTCTCCCACTCTCTGCCCCTCCTCCACTCGTGGTATCTCTCACCTGTGCAAGCGCTTTCTCAAAAAATAAAACAAAACAGTTTTCCAGTTTACTTCTTACAGGTGACCAGAAAGAACTGTGCTTTTCATTAAACTGTGCTTTTCATTCCCATATGTCCTCTAGAAGCAATGATTTGGTATTTGCTGATTCAGTGTGCAAGCCGACGTTACATAACATAACTACCATGAATAACGAGAATAAAAAGCATATTGATCTAAAAACCTTCAGAGGGTTAAAGACTTCACCAGGGTGACTGGCCTCTTCATCATCCTGTCCTACTGAACCAGTCTCCATAAGAAGAGGGCCTCCAGTAGACACCTGGGTTTGAATCTCAGGCCTGCCACTTACTAGCCATGTAACCTTGTTCAAGACACTAAATCCTTGCTGTCTCATTTTCTTATCTGTAAAATGGAGTACCTTTTAAAACCCAAACTGTTTCACAGGGATCATACACAGATTCACATAGGTCCTGGGGGTGAAATAGTTTACAGAATCAAGTACTGTGCAAATATGTATTATTCCTTTATGTTGTAATTCCAAATGTAAAATTAAGGTATTTCACAGAGAAATGTATGTAACACAATGAAGACCTCATGGTTAGAGACTAATAACCTTATGTTCTAGATTTCAGTGGAAAAGCCCGAGAAGGGACAAAACCAAGCTGATGATAAATTATGGAGTTACAAATGACAAACACAAAAGGACTGACTGAACATATCTGAGAATAAATAAGTGAATAATAATGACCCCTCCCCCTTTTCCTGATTTTCCCCTATGCTCTCCCACCCCGGGTTCAGTCCAGCTAGAATCCCTAAGTACTGAACTAGCCAGAGGGGCCTGTGAGCAGAATTCTCAGTAGCCTACAACAGGCAAGCTCAAATGTACCTAAACCTGGAACAGAGAGGAAAGCTGCCAAGTTCATGTTGGCCTCCGTCCTTCCCTCATCTGCTTGGAGCACCACAGCCAGAGCTCTTACATCTCAGATCCCCAGCCTCCTAGGGGTACTGCCTTCTCCTGACTCCCTTGAGAGTCACGTCACCTCTAAACACACTTTAAGAAAACAGGGAAACTAAAAACTACTTAGCATATAAGAAAATTCCTCACTTTTTTCCTTCACAGGCTGAACACCAGTGTGTGAATAAAAGTGAGAGGGACTTCTGTGAAAGCCTTTTCTGAGCCCTGTATTCCTAACTCCTAGGTCAACATCCTCAGGAACTCCAAAGAGCATCACATGAAAACAGTGAGGCTTATACACACACCACCTCTTGCCAGATAGAGTAAAATAAGATATCAAACATCAGAGACTTGATAAATCTCTATCTTATCAAGGTCTTCTCTCCTAAGAAAGAAAAAGACAACCAAGACATTGCTAGGCCAAATAGAGATTATGTGTACAGCCTTCTGTTTCACCTCATTTCTAAGATTATTTATAAGTCATTAAAAAAGATTTTTTTTTTTTTTGCAACGTTTTTATTTATTTTCGGGACAGAGAGAGACAGAGCATGAACGGGGGAGGGGCAGAGAGAGAGGGAGACACAGAATCGGAAACAGGCTCCAGGTCCTGAGCCATCAGCCCAGAGCCTGACGCGGGGCTGGAACTCACGGACCGCGAGATCGTGACCTGGCTGAAGTCGGACACCCAACCGACTGCGCCACCCAGGCGCCCCCAAAAAAAGATATTTAAATGCCCCAAACACATTTTGTTTTAATAGTGAAACGGCGAGGGGAGGGCATGCAAAAAACACCAGGGCCTTTGGTCTTGTTAATTTACATTTCTGCCTTGAAACAGGAAAGGCCAGCGTAAGAAGGAAGACACAGGTCCTGTTTTTAACAAAAATTGTAATTCTCAGGCCCTCCAACAGATATGCTCACACTACCTAGTAACCTGCTCCACTCAGGCCATTCCCAAATCCTGCCAGCGATGCTACAGAACAGGAATTCTGTAAAATCTTCACAGACAAAACTGAACCAAGAGTCTGACATTCCCTAAGAGCAATCTTCTCCATACTGAACAAGGAAAACCTATGAGTGGCAAGGAAGAGTGTCTGTAACTGCAAACCCATTTTCTAAAGGCTAACATTCCACATGTTGCTGTATATCATGGAGGTAATTTTAAAATAGACCTTTGAACTCTCATCTCTGTCCCTTCTCCACTCTTACTGTGACTCCTCCTCTTGCCCCATGCCTAAATGAAGCATCCCAACAGCCACTGGCTGGTGCCAGTCTCTGTACCCTCTCCTCGCTGCTCGAGGCAGAGAACCAGCCACACAGGCATCACCTGGCAGCTGGTTAGGAATGCAGAACCTCAGGTCTCACCCCAGACCTAGTCCATCAGAAACTGCATTTGACAAAGACCCCAAGTGATACGTATGTGTATTGAAGTTTGAGAAGAACTGCTCTAAGCCCACCGCACTATCTGCCGGCCACCCCCGTTCCAGGTAAACCAACCCCTTGGCCTGGGAAGGGCCTCAGGGAGCACTCCAAAGTGCCCAGCCCTGCTTTCCACACTTCCTAGGATGCACACGGAAAGCAGGCTGTTTTCCAGAGAACCTAGGTAGAGGCCTGGGCACGGTACTTAGCAGCCACCAGGAGCCACTGGTGAAGATGTATTTCCTGTCCTTATGTCTGCTCACCACTACCAACACCCTCACATCTCCTGCAGTCATTCCCTTTCCTGTCCTACCTCTTCCTCCCAGTATTGAAAACGGATCAGCTAGTGAAGTGATTCACCAGGATCTAATGTCAGAATTTCGGCTCTACAGCTTGCTTGCTGGTGAATTAGGAAAACTACTTAACTTCACTAGCCGTCAGTTACTTCCTCTGTCAGTGAGGATGCTATAATAGTGCCTTCCCCTTGGGCTTGCTGTGAAAGCTCTCAATCTGGCATTTGGATGGCTGGCACCTCATGTGCAGATTGGGACCTGTCCACTGACTTAGTCTGCACATTCGCCCTCTCCTTTAAAGGACTACACCACTGACAGGCAAGGCCACACAACTCAGCACCTAACTGTAACTCTCCCATAGAGATCTCTGTGCCGCTGGTTTTCTCTCCTAACCTGGATCTTAAAAGAAAGGATGGCTGTTGTGTTTACAGATTGAAAAAGTAATTCATGCTTATTACAGAAAATACAGAAAAATATAAAAAAGAGAAATAACTTATCCACAATCTCTCCTCTAAGAGACAATTGTTAACATTTAGAGTGTCCTCTTCCAAATAAGTAGATCTCACGGTCAGGAAGGAAAGGACCAAGTCTTAATGTCCTTGATAACTTCCCCGACTTCCCCACGTCCAATACCTCTCCACACTCCCAGCACCTAACGTAGCACAGTGCTGAGTACTTAGCAGCAGACAAACCCATACGTGTGCCTCAGCCGACTGCTGTAGTGACGTAAGTGGCTTGTCCCTGCACTTATATGTACACTGTCTACATACAGAAACAGGGATGTTGTCAGAGTTAGTGATGTAATATGTTTGGTTCATATGTAATGTGTCTGACACGAGTTGCTCCTATCTGCATTCTATGGGGCTACTGTTTGTGTTGGATGGTGAGTGTGTTTCTGGTTTCCCTTTCGATGTGCTCAGATTTCACTTACCTACAGGAATGGTCATCCCATGAATTTTATCAGCCCAGCCTGCGTAGTACCGAAGAGTTTTGATGACCCCCTGCAAATCCACGTAAAAAGCTTGCAAGAACGGTTTGCCACCATTTAGGGATTCCATGGTCTGTACGAAAAGAAATGGAGAGAACTTTCCAGTGACACACAAAATAATCTCTAGAGCAGAGGAAAATGGAAGAGCGAGAATGTGAATGAATACGAATAGTGATTCATACCTGGTCAGTTCTGATTTCCCAAATGAAAAGATTTTTTAGTACTGCCAGTTTAGGTAAGTCTCTAGTAAAAACCACAATGAATATGGATGCACATGTTTTTGTGCCTGTGCGTCTCCAGTAACCACTATCCAAATGCATAAACACAACGTTTCTTCAACTAACGATAAAGAAATGTTCTGCCTGTCAAACCAGCTTCTGTTATATTAATGATCAGAGCTGCGTGGGGATGTGTTGGAGTCTAGACCAGTAATCTGAATCCATAAAGAGGAGCAGCGACATGGGCCTTTATGCAACTGATGAGAATATAAAGCGTTTTCCACCGCTGCCAAGACCCCTGCTGAGAAATGGAATATCCACCGTGCACAGTGACTTTATTTATTACCATCAAATAAACAAGAGCTCCTCTAGGGAAGCTCACACTTTAACAACTTCAGGGCTGCTTTTTGGTAAATATTTATGTTAACAACCATTACCTATTAAAAGTGAAGTATCTGTTCCATTGAATAAAAATAGACATATTGAGCAGTTGTAGATTACAAATGTTTCTATTTGAACGAGGTGTTCCTAAACTGCTTGAATTGTAGCAACAACCATAAAAAGCCACATGGACACACTGAAATGAGAAAGGAGTATTTAGACTTGAGAAATATTGAAGGTGTTACAAGTTTAATGAATTAAAAATAAGCAAAAACATATGTTTATAATCTCATGTCCTTCTCTGTGAGGACACTTTATTACTCATACTGGTGTGAAAATGATGTGAGCGTTGACAAAACTTAAGATGGAAATATTCTCCATTCGATGACATAAAAATACAATCACTTACAGGGCAACATACCCACTCACGCGGGTAAGGATCTGATGGGACTCACGTGCATATAAGATAGGACTCATTTTAAAAGATGCCATCACTTATCACTGTACATTGGCTCACCTTTACCAAGGGGAATCCAATTATTTCCCAGTACTTTTGAGAACATGTATATGTTCAGGAGATGGGCATTATGTTCTCCAGGCAGCCAGCACAGAGCCAAGCTCCACACAGTATAGAGTGAAGTGCAGTCAGTCACCAGAATCTGAGCCACCTACATGGTCCCAATGAGCTGTTGACAACAGCCAATTTCACCTGAGGGTTGCCAGCCCTATGTTTATTTTCGATTAATTATATTTACTTGGATGAGGTGTTAACTTCATTTTCTGGTCAGAAGCTCCCATCTATTCCAGAGGCTATCTCTTATTAAAAATCACTCCTCCCATGGCCTGAGGAGTGTTTAAAAACAGAAATCTCATTTAAGTGTAATGGCAAAAGGGAACTGATCACGGTGAGGCATATGTCCAAAAAAGAATGGCATGTGAATTTTATGACATGAAAATATAACTGCAGTATGTGTGTATGTGTGTATATATATATATATATATATATATATATATGTATATATATATGTGTACACATATATGTGTGTATATATATGTGTGTGTATATATATGTGTACACATATATATACACACACACACTCTAGTCTAATGTTGTAAATATTGTATAGATTTCACTCAATTAAACAGACACTTACAGACAATCTATATGCCCTCTCTACCTAACCATTTATGTCCCAGGAACACAAAAGAAGTAAAATATAGTCCTCACGCTTGAAGAAATCATAATCCAGTGAAGACATAAGCCTGCAGACCACCATTTCCCCCCAAGTGTTCCAAAGAATTCAGTTTTGCACGATACTGATAGATTAGCCAGAAAAATAGTGTTGAGGCTTAAACAAATGAGAAATAGTGACTAGGGCTTTTCCGAGTCTCTAATAGGTCAGTGTCTTGTGAACATCTGAGAAGGAGCTACTTTACCCAGAACAAACACCTTTATTGCAAAACGCATAAACACCTCACTGGAACAGTCTTCCTTGAAGTACCAGATTAGATAATGTTTTTATAGAGAAGTAAATGTTACAGGGGCCAGAGTTCCAAATAATCTCCATAAAGGATTCATTTTTGTTCCCATACTATGAACAGATCCTGGAAGGGGATGGCTGGAAGAATGATGGCAGCAGTGACACTGAGGAAGGACATAAGGCTTCCCCTTCCCAGAGCAAGCCCAATTGTGCTCTGTTTTCCCACGTGAAGGGTAGGATACAGTGTTCACGGTTTGAACGCCTGACTGAACAAGGACGCCCTAAACGTTAACTGATCAACAGTGGGTTATCCAGGAGGAGATCCCTGGTGCACAACACAGACATTCCCAAATGGTTCCAGTTTCAGGCAGTTCGTATTCCCTAAGAAACGGACTTTTATCTTATAAATAGCAAAAACAAATACAAAAACCACTAGGAGAGGGATGCTCCTTATGTGAGAAAATGATTTAGCGAAAGACAGTTGCTGTCTCCCTGCTCTCTCTCCTATCCCCTGGTTCTAGAAAGTGGCAGAAGAACAAAGGGGGCAGAAGTGCCTGAGAGGCCCTCTGCTTCTGAAGGATTCTCTTTAGTCAAGAGAGGTTAACTCTGGGGAGGTAAAAAAACAGTCCTATTTGATCCTCAAATGAATCATTTGGTGTTGGTTTTCCCTAAGCTTCATGGTGACTCTCCTGCTGCTTAACTGTTTTTGTTTTGATTTGTCGGTTGAGGGTGGGCTAAGGTTGGAAAGGATGGCAAGAACGTCCTTTCTAGTCATGGGAAGCTATGGTTTTGTTCTTCAAAATTTACTAAGAAGAGACCCTCAGCTAGTCTTGCACCTCCCCATCTGATCCCAAAAGCCAAACACCTCTCATTTTTCATGTGTATTACGTTCTCTTCAGCTTGTCCCCCAAGTTGACTGCACACCACATTTTCAGAAAGGCTGAGGAATCTACATTTCAGTGGAGTAGTAAATTTAGGGTAAAGACTTAATGTTTTTTTAGGCTACTTACTGCAAGAACTGCCCTGTCTCGCTCCACCAAGTCTGCAAGCTTATCCAACAGACGGCCTCTTTCTGAAGCGTCCATCCTTCTCCACACTGAACCAAGAGAGAAAGCCAGGCGGGCTGCCTGCACTGCTTTGTCTATATCTGCCTGTTAGAGAGAAAGAGGCACAACTGAAGAGAGAGAACACTGCGAATAAAGGAAGAACCACCTGCTTCGATGAAAAAGGTGATGAATGAATGTCAGTGCTGGTGTCTGGGGAGGATAAGCTTAGTGCTCTGTTGTCTGAAAGCGGTTATTTCATAGGGAATCTTTTTCTAAGAAGGACATACCTTGTCTGCTTCTTGAACTTCACACACCTGCTCTCCTGTGGCTGGATTATAGACAGGGAACACTCTCCCACTCTCTGAGTTCTGCCACTCGTTGTTAATAAAAATCTACGGAAGTAGACAACAGAAGGGGATCGGTGAGACACGTGATAGGAAGCCAACCAATGGTGAAGGATTATGGAAGTGCCATGGTAGTGATATTTGTTCTATATGTTTGTTGGCACGTAAGTATAGAATTTGGAGCATTACAAGAGACCCTTAACAGTATGCAGTCCAGCCTCTCCCCAAATTCAGAAATTTCCTCTATGATATTTTTATCTCAAGTTTATCCTAAGATTAAACATAGTTCTTACCTTTAGTGAACCTGCCAACCAGTGAGGGAGTCAAACAAAGATGGAAGCACAGAGTCTCACATACATACAAACAATACACAAAGCTGAGAAAATATTTACTGACTGTCCAAACTCTGGCCAATATCCAAAAGGAGTAAATACCATGGAACAAACTGAGAGTCACCATGCTTTAGATCCTAGTTTCTCTCTCAGAGGCATAAGTAACTTCACCGGGAACTTGAAGGGTGCTGAAATAAGTAAGCATTCACTTAATTTATAGTCAGATCCTGAACCGTGCAATGACTCTAACTGGTGAGTTAAACAAGTTACGTGTGTAAATCCAAGTTAGATTTCTTCCCCTTTGCTGGGTAGGCTACACGACTCAGCAAAGGGAAAAGGCCTTTCAAACTGGTCTCTCAAGAATTTCTTAAGAGTCTTGGTTTCCTTATAAAGGAAATGAAGATTATATTAAAATGGCAAAGAGACTTATAGTTAAAAAAAATATTCAAGTTAGTATCTCAGAAGATTTGTAAGGACTGAGTTGAAGAAAAGGAGAAAATATAGGCAAAGACATGTAAAATTTTTTATTGATATTAAAGAGAGAAACCCAAACAAAACGTTTGGACTATGACAGCTCAAAGAATACACAAAGGTATTTTACTCTATAAAATTTATAGCATTACCATGAAAATTTCTGAAGTCAGAAGCCATCAGTCAATTTAGAACAAACACAAGGATAAATTGATTTGTTATTGTCTGCCATTTTAGTAAATCACAGATGAGGCTAAATGAAGACATCTACAATTTTAAATACTAAGTTCTAGATTATTCCAAAGCTTTATTTTGTCTTGATTTGATAAAACAATGAAGCCTATGTTTCCCCTTTTTAAGACAAAAGAGAAAAAAGACCTTAAATCTGCATAAGCACTTAATTCAAAAGTAACAAGCATAAACACAATGGCCTTGTAATTGTAGAAATTTTAAGTGTATGATTTAGAAACATACTTTATAATTTACAACAATTTATAAACAATTTCTAAATGTAATGTATTCATTTATTCAATAAGTACTTAGATACTCCTAGACCTAGGAGAGGCAAAGAGGACTAGCAGTGCCAGCCCTCCAGGGTCTTACAGTCTCTAGTAACTCCCTAAATATTCACAACCTTAATGGCAGAATTTTATTACCGCTACCAAAGATGAGAAAGTTGTGAGGATGGGAGGTTAAGAGTCTGATGAAGCAGGTTCTCATTGTGGCTCTGACTAGTCTACTGCTCCTTCCAGTGTTATCAGAGTCTGCGGGATTGCTCAGTCCAAAGAAACGAGTTCGTGTCCAAGCCTAAATTAGATCTATATAGTTCTTGGACTCCTGGTCTAGTTCTCTTCCCACTCCATGTAACAAACTTCCTAACAGTTCACAGTTGATCATATCTGCACACTCCTTTGAAACACAGTATGACCTCCAAGGTAACAAAGGACAAAAATTGAGAGGTTAGTTTCACTTCTAGAGCATTATCAGGTTTAAGGAAGAGGGGTCTTGCCAATATGCCTTATTCTCTTTATTCACAATTTGACAGAGACTTCTTAACCTTTTTAATCCAATTTTAGTTTTTAAGTTTCTTTACTGAGCAGTTCTAACTATCTGTAAGAATTGAGATTTCATGACCTTTATTGATTCTTAGAGGTCTTCCAAAGATCAAAGAGAAAAATTATTTATTTTTTAACAGGATAAAACTCATTCATTCTCTTACTGTTTTCATTTAGGTGCATGGATCATCTTATAAATTTAAGATACACTACAGGACCTTAGTGATCTTTTGCTATTTTGTCATCCTAGGAATTACTTCATCATCACTCAATTATTTCCAACCATGCTAAAAAAGAACAAAACAAAAAATTGTGGAACTGCCATAGAATGAATAAATAATTACAACTATTTCATCATCCTTCAGTTTTCATATTGTGTTGTCCAAACTAATGCATCATCTTTTGAAAGCACATAAAAGAAGTCTGGAGACACCATCTTTGTTCTATTCTTTTTAGATTTCATTGAATGCATTTAGGAACTCAGAATTTTTCATTTCAGTCCATCATGAGTAAGAGAAGATTACAGAGAAAGATATTTCACAACCGTAAATGAGTCAGAAGATGAAGGCAAAGAGAGAGAAACACTGGAGACTCTACTGATGAGGGTGAAGTTGACGAAGCAAAAGTTTGGACTATTTTCTCAAACTCAGGAATTACAGAGCAAACAAGATATTTATGAATACACCAAGAAAACATGATATTCTAACTCAGTCATTTAATAGGACAGAGTTAATTATTTAGTATTTTCCAACAAGAACCTGGACCACCTTGTTTTGCTAAAAGGATATGTGATAATTCTTTTATCTTTTATGATATCTGTGTGTAAAAATTTACTTGATATGATTCATAAGGTGACTAGAGGACACATATTATGTAGAAATAAAATTTTTCATTGATCAATCTAATCTACGTTTAAATTAGAAATTTAAATTAGATATTAAAAACAGGGGCGTCGATTGAGCATCTGACTCTCGATTTTGGCTCAGGTCATGAACTCACGGGTTCATGGGATTGAGACCTGTGTTGGGCTCTGTACATTCAGCACAGAGCATGCTTCAGATTCTCTCCCCCTCTCTCTCTGCCCCTACCCCATGTACTCTCTCTCAAAATAAACAAACTTTAAAAAAAAACCTAAAAATGGAAACATCCTGTAATTATGGAACACAAAGATAGCCATCCTCTTTAATACAAAATTATAAGCACTCAAACTTTTCAGTAGCATTACATTGTGAAAATGCACATACAAGAACCAGAAGTAACAATAAGCTGTAACCTATTAGAGATCCAACAGACCCAGATGGTAAATGTGATGACTATTTTTCCTGGTATGCTGAAGGTTAAAATATTTGATTTTTACTAGGTTATTCTTTTTGTAGACCTAGCCTTATGACACTTAAAAAACTTGTACTGATAACTTTGTTGGTACACCGACTAGCAAATACCTCTAATACTTGAAGATTTTCAGCTTCTGTAGGCTATTTCAAAAATTTTGAATACTGTATCAATAGTTCTTCCCTAACCAGGCTCCCAATGGCCAATACTGACATAATTTAAGCAACAAAATAGATAATGATAGCAATGATTACTCATAGAATGAAAAAGGCACTCAAGAGCCCATAATGATACAAATTATTTTAATGAATATATAAATGGGGGGATAAGATGAAGTTCTGCTTCATAGGAGAATTCCAACTAACAGTTGTGAAGGAATGGTGGAATTAGATAATCACCATTTGTCAAACATCATAGTAGTAATTGCTGGAGGCAAAATCATCAGTGGATGATAAAATTGGTGGGTAAAAGTATAATGAAAAATTGGATGTTAATGTAGTCTCAAAGTATATTCCCACAAGATACTTCCTAATTACAAAGGGAAAAATAGAAACTTTATTAGAGAAACTTGACAGACACCACCTTAATCAAGCAATCAAGGTTAACATCACCAGTAATGCAACAAATGAATTGTTATTAACATTTTATCTGCATGTCCTACCAATAATTAAAAAGCTGTGTTGAAATCTCTTGCTTTGGTTGTGGATTTGTCAGTATATCTCTTACAGTCTTCATTTATATCTTTATAAATTTTAGGTTATTAGTGAATACAAAATGATTTTTGTACATTATCCTTATATCCTATAATTGTTTATTAGTTCCAGAAGGGTTTTTTTCTCTTTTTTGTGTGTTTGAATTCTTAGGGATTTTCTACCTAGACAATCATGTTATTTATGAACAGAGACACTTTTATTTCTTCCTTCCCAGTCTATATACATGTTATTTCCTTTTCTGGCTTTACTATATTAGGTAGGACTTTCAGCACAATGTTCAACAGGAGTGGCAAAAGGGGTTTCTTGTTCCTATTCATAGAAAGCATCTATATAATTTCTTGTCATTAAGCATGATGTCAGCAAGAGGTTTTATGTAGGTATTTATCATCCAGTTGAGGAAATTCCTTTATTTTTAGTTTGTGGAGAGTTTTTTTTTTTTTTTACCATGAACGGGTGTTGGATTTTGTCAAATGCTAATTCTAAATGTACAGATGCTATCATATGAGTTTTTTTCATTAGCCTGTTGATGTAACAGATCATAATAAATGATTTTTGAATTCTGAACCAGTCTTGTATACCTGGAATAAATCCCACTTTGTTGTGGTGTATAATATACTGTTGGATTTTATGTGTCAACATTTTTTACAGTATTTGCATTTATGTTAATAAGAGGTATTGGTCTGTAGTTTTCCTTTCCTGTATGTCTTTATCTGGTTTTAGTATTACAGTAATGCTGGCCATATTAGATGAGTTAGGGAGTGATCCTTTTGCTTCTATTTTCTGGAAAATACTACACAGAATTGGTATGTTTGCTAGAAATCACCACTAAAACCATCTGGACCAGGGGCATCTGGGTGGCTCAGCTGGGTGAACATCCGACTTCAACTCAGGTCATGATCTCAAGGTTCATGAGTTCAAGCCCCACATTGGGCTCGCTGCTGTCAGTGCAAAGTCCACTTCAGATCCTCTGTCCCCCTCTCTACTTGCCCCTCCCCTGCTTGCTCTCTCTCTCAATAACAAACATTTAAAAAAATCTGGACCAGTGCTCTTTTATTTTTGGAAGGTTACTAATTACTAATTCGACTTCTTAAATTTATATGGGCCCATTTAGGGTTAGCCAATATGAGTTTCCATCCTTGGTTCCC